AGCAACCGGTTTCGCCCCCCTCTTTCAGGCTTCAACAGGAGATTCAAAATTAATACAGAAAAAATGTACAAAAGGAATGGGGGGGTAAATAAAAAAATATATATTTATATATATGCAGAAGGAACTAGAGACAAATGACAGTGAGTCCCAACAAACACTCACGTTATATATATATATATATATATATATATATATATATATATATATATATATGTGTGTGTGTGTGTGTGTGTGTATATATATATATATATATATATATATGAACACTGAAGTCTATATCAGAGGCGACAGGCAGTTTCATGCTAGACGTTATAGTCCGGCCGCCTGACGATTGCGTCTAGTATGAAACAGCCTGTCGCCTCTGAGTGTTGACTTCAATGTTCCCTTTTCTATTTCTATTTCTATTTATATACGATCTATCTCTGATATTGTGCAATTTATCCCATAAATAAATACAGTACACTCTAACAATATATTTCTGCATAAATATAACCCACTCTAAAACTATATACATTTATACACCGGAAGAGAATCAATGGCACGTCAAAAAATTACTCCATAGCTAAGGAAACGGTACCAAGATCAAAGGAATAACGCGTCCTCAAAGTCAGCCATATCAGAACGTATCATTTCAGTAATGTGCAACGTGAGTAACTCCTAAGGTACACGGGAGAACAAAAGGAAACCAATGTCATACAGAGTGACAGAGCGTCTTATTATAAGTATGCTTGTCCCGCCCTCAGTTAGCACGGCCCTTACGCCCTGCCGATACCTCATGAACGACGGACAATTCTGTTTTCATCGCGGGGAAAGGTGGAAAAGACACATCAGAGATGCTACACGGTTTCAGGTTGAAAATAAACGAAAGAAATTCAAGCGCACGGTGAGACTGGCGTCGTGATCTCATCCATTTACAGTACACGGTCCGGTGCTCCTACTATTCACCTAGAGCTCCTCGATAATATCCAAAGAAGAATCAGCAATATAATCGGTCATGATCTGACTGCTCGGCTTCAGTCAATTTCCCGCCGTCGTATGGTTACCTCTCTTTGACTTTTCCCTAAATATTAGGTTGGTGCAAAAATAATGACGTAATAATGTCGTTTTTTTTAACGTCAAAAAACGACATTGTTACGTCATTATTTTTGCACCAACCTAATACTTTCATGGTAATTGTTCGGTTTAGCGCTTCGCTATTATTATTTTGTTTAGTTTCTTGTAAATAGTTTTGTTCTCATATTATGAATACTCATCGGGGCATGTTTTTATATTTTTTATTACCCCCCCCCCATAGACAATGAATTTTACATATGGGGACGAATTATGATTTTCATAGAGACAACGAGGTATTACGGTGGATGTCGTAAGAAAGGTAAGTAAGCATGCGTTTTTTTGGTCTTAGGAATTATAGTTTGTATGTTTGGTTCAGTTATTGTGGATAGCTAAGTTTAAAGTTAAGACAGATAAATTTCTTAAAAATTTCTTACACGCTTATTTTAAAATGATCTCCGATAATCGTTTCGATGTATCGTCAACAACTGATTTGTCCTGTTTTTTTTTTTTTGTTTTTTTTGTCTAACTTTTTTTCTTGTTTGTGGTTCAATATCTTCTCAAATTCAAATCTTAGAAATCAAGGTTTAAGGTGAGTGTTAAACTCGGATTTTAAAAGTACTGACAATTCTTGATACCTTCTTATAAAAAATAATCACAGCCCTAAGTCTGCCTATATATGTCATTTCTATAATACGCTTATGATAATTGTTTGGATGACCTCTTATCTATGGTACTACTTCATTTCGTTTATTGTAAATAGTTCTGTTTTCATATTGTAAATACTCTATATTTCTGAGATGAGGTATTATGTACACTATTTAATAATAATAGCCCATCTCGGAAAAATAGACAGATACTGAAAGGCCGAAACGTTGTAATAAACATTGCGACACAGATGAGGACAATAGTCCGAATAATGTAAAGAGTGTACATAATACCTCATCTCAGAAATATAGACAGATACTGAAAGGCCGAAACATTGTAATAAATATTGCGACAAAGATGAGGACAATAGTCCGAATAATGTAAATAGTGTACATAATACCTCATCTCGGAAATATAGACAGATACTGAAAGGCCGAAACGTTGTAATAAATATGGCGACAAACACGAGGACAATAGTCCGAATAATGTAAATAGTGTACATAATACCTCATCTCAGAAATATAGACAGATACTGAAAGGCCGAAACGTTGTAATAAATATGGTGACAAAGATGAGGCCAATAGTCCGAATAATGTAAATAGTGTACATAATACCTCATCTCGGAAATATAGACAGATACTGAAAGGCCGAAAAGTTGTAATAAATATGGCGACAAAGACGAGGACAAGAGTCCGAATAATGTAAATAGTGTACATAATACCTTATCTCAGAAATATAGACAGATACTGAAAGGCCGAAACGTTGTAATAAATATGGCGACAAAGACGAGGACAATAGTCCGAATAATGTAAATAGTGTACATCTCAGAAATATCGACAGATACCAAAGGCATCTATGGCAGAAACAATATCCGAATAATGACAGATACCTCATCTCAGAAATATCGAAAGGACCGAAACGTTGTAACAAATATGGCGACAAAGACGAGGACAATAGTCCGAATAATGTAAATAGTGTACATCATATCTCATCTCAGAAATATAGACAGATACTGAAAGGCCGAAACGTTGTAATAAATATGGCGACAAAGACGAGGACATTAGTCCGAATAATGTAAATAGTGTACATAATACCTCATCTCGGAAATATAGACAGATACTGAAATGCCGAAACGTTGTAATAAATATGGCGACAAAGACGAGGACAATAGTCCGAATAATGTAAATAGTGTACATCATACCTCATCTCAGAAATATAGACAGATACTGAAAGGCCGAAACGTTGTAATAAATATGGCGACAAAGACGAGGACAATAGTCCGAATAATGTAAATAGTGTACATCATACCTCATCTCAGAAATATCGACAGATACTGAAAGGCCGAAACGTTGTAATAAATATGGCGACAAAGACGAGGACAATAGTCCGAATAATGTAAATAGTGTACATAATACCTCACCTCAGAAATATTGACAGATACTAAAACGCCGAAACGTTGTAATAAATATGGCGACAGAGACGAGAACAATAGTCCGAATAATATAAATAATGTTCATTAGATCAAGTTTTTACATTGTTGTTTGATTCCCCTTTCCTCATAGACAATGAATTGTATATATGGGGACGAGTTATAATTTTCATAGAGACAACGAGGTATTATGGTGGATGTAGTAAGAAAGGTAAATAAGCATGCGTTGTTTTGGTGTTAGGAATATTGTTTGTATGTTTGGGTCAGTTATTGTGGATAGCTAATTTTAAAGTTAAAAAAGGATGAATATCGTCCTTTTCCCCCTTTTTGGCCTTGAGCCACATTTTTTAAATATTTACAAATAAATATCGCTCTTCCCCATAATACCTACACTTTATGAATTTAAGCACAAGACTGACATCTAGATCTCAATGAATTTACACTTAAGCCTCCTAAATGTCGCCGTAAATTCTATACTAACACTTTCTTCTCTCACACTTCTCGCTTGTGGAAATCCCTTCCGGCTCCATGATTTCCAACCAACTTTAATCTGCAAAAATTTAAATGCAATTTAAATCGCTATATACTTGTCCCCTATTACTCTCTTCTCTTTCTGCTCATCATTATTCTTTCTGTTCATAATTCTTCTACATCCTGAAATCCCATGTGTTTCAGTGGGATTACTACCTTGCTTGGGATACCGATTAAAAAAATTTAACACCTCAGTCCAAAAATAGCCAATTGACTCATTCCCAATTTTGGCCTTGTGACACATTTTCTGTATATAGCAGAAATAAATATCAATCTACGATATGGACATAGATTTAAAAAAAAATTTAAGCGCTGTATTAAACATGCGAGGAGATATTAATTTAATGCTGAGCTGGCTAGATGCAGCCGTAAGGTGTATGCTAACAGTTTTTTTCTCGCACTTCTTGCATGTGGAACTCCCTTCCGACTCCATGCTTTCCAGCCATCTTTACTCTTCAAAAAATTTAAATGCTACGGCAGTCGCTATCTACTCTCCTCTTGATTAATTGATTGTGTTCGCTCTTTAAAAATTTTTCTGTTTTCTAATTCTTCCACACCCAATAACCCCTTGTATCTTTGTGGCTTTACTTCCTTGCAGGGGGTGAAATCGATTAAAAAAGAAAAGTTGTTTTTCTTAGGTTTAGGAGATGCACGCTGATCACGCCGAAGCTATTACCCTTTCTTGCATTTAAAATCATCGGCGCAGGTAAAAACTGATAACCGTCCAGGTAGGTGTACTTTATGACCCTGGCAAGTGGGTACAAAGCAAAAGAAAATGCTTTAACCAACAAAACCTTTAAACAACAGGTTTACAAAAACAAAAACCAGCATGACTACCGAGTCGAATGCAGTGCTAATGAAGAAATTGGCTATGACTTCATATCCAGCGAAAGTTTGCCGATATTACAGGCGCGAAAAAGCAAGGCGTACATATAATAAGTGCCAGAAATGAAACTGAACTAAGATTCCCCTAACACCAGGGAAACGAATATATGTTAAGAACATTTGTATTAAACGGACTAACATCAATACTCGGAGTCCATTTTTAGATCAGCCAATCACTCGTAGCTAATATGAACTGACCCGTTCGAACATCTTCTCAAAAGTAGGTTCTATTTTCATTATTTACTTATATTGTAGCTAGTTCTATTCAATATTGTTTAGTGTTTCTATTCTTGGCTAAAAGCCAAACTTATATCTGAGTGACTAAAATTACGTGTCAATGACCGGGAACATTGATTAGAGGTATTTACTAAAATTACCTTTGTCTGGCTAAAGATCAAATCGGAAATTGTGGTTTAAGAAGACAATGTTGCGTCAATATTCTCAACCTCGTACAGGCTTACGGCCATGTCATATTGAAACGCTTGTCCCCGTACGATCACCGAAGTTAAGCAACGTTGAACCTAGTCAGACACTAGATGCATGACCGCTTGGGAATACCTGGTGCTGTAAG